CGAAAATGACACTAACGCTGTGTCTGTCACTTCGACAATTACAAACTCATTTGAGGTTTGATTGGCATGACAACAATAATCGTTTCCCATCAGATCAATCCAAATCTATAGGGGGATTTTTATAATAATGAATTTTTATTTTTCAATATTTCTTGATTTTTACAATAAATAGTGCAATTTGATGGATGATTCTGAACATACATACTTATTACTGCAACAAACAAACTCAAACTCTCATATTCCATCACCTACCACTTATATTTTGCGATATTATCATATCTTTGTTTTTCCCGCACTAGTGTGGGAAAATTTTTCCCGTACTGTTGCGGAAAAATGACACTTTCCAAACTGATTTGCGTGCGGGTATAGGGTGAATCACGCACGCTTGTAGAAAAAAATATTATTTGTGACACTAAATAAGAGCAATTTGGTATACTTGCTACTCATCAAATTTCAAATCCCGATCTCGAATGATTCAGGAAATGCAGTGCAGTTATCTGTATAATTTCAAGAGAGTGTGTTCTAGTTTGGAAGACCCAAGAATTTCGTAAAAATTGTATCATTTAAAGAAAAATTGTCTAATCCTATTTATATTAAAGTATACAATTCACTGAATAAAGGAAGAAAAAGTGAGAAACAAACATGAGTTCAAAGCACAATGATGTTTCCCCAACAATAACCAAATTAATCTTACATCATACTTTGTGTATTGTTCTCGAGATTGTTCTATTATGCATCCTGTTTCCCATCCAATTATTTCCGAGTTTAGAACAGAAAGAGGCTATTACGAACTGATTACAAGTTTCACCAGAATAACTTTCTTTACTTTTATTTTCTTAGCAAAATTCAACAACAGAGATTTGTGTAAATGTCAAACTATTCGACTATAGGTATTAGATTTGCTAAATGTACAAAAATATATGAAATGATGTTTCAGTAACGCCGTAACTTCTGCAGGTGACAAACACGTACAATATTATACACCGGGTGTCCCAGAGTAGGGCAGAGTGAGATTATGTAAACAAAGGTAATGATAATTGCCAACGCACATTATGTTCCTTCAAATATTCGCGCTAATTAGAAAAAAATCACGCCTTATTTGCATTTCATCCTTCCAAAATACCAGTACAAATGAGCAGTTGGATAGCGTTTCATTATTGTGTGAATTTGTTTCAACATGTTTCAGTTTCAGATTATATTTCTTTAAGGTGAGAATACGATCAGAATACTGAATCTTGAACCACCGTGTATTTGTACCAATCAAATGTCAGTAGATATTTAGTAGATATTAAATGATTCGACTTCCGACCGCGGTGGAATAAGACAGGCAGCGTCTTCAGGTCGGTAGTCAGGTTGATGTTTTTGTGATTGTGACTTTGAAACGCTAAAAGAGCACAATACCTGGTGCTCGAAAAACAAAACCCTTATAATTTAGGCCGGTATCCAGGCCGGATGGGGACGGATTTTCCGTAATAAGGGCTCTGGCTGTATGTCGTAAGACAAGAGGCCATATAATCAAAGAGAGAGAGATAATTAAATGTCAGCAGATAGTAAATCAAAAGTTAAGATAAAATTCCTAAAGTTAAAAAAATCTCGATTTTGAACACCCGCTAGGAACCAAGTGTAATATATGGATGAAAGCAGCTCTTCCATTTGAAAATCGAAAGTTGATGCCCCTTACGCTTCAAGGTTTCAACTTTGGAATATGATAATTATTATAGAAAAATTGACCTGTCCGATTCCAATTTTTTTAAAGACATCGGAGATTAGCAGGGGGTGACAAGTTTTAGGTGGGACACACTGTATGATGTATTGTATTGTTATGTGTTATGTTTCACTTCAAGATTACTAATAAGAGTGATTTTCATAATAAGTTTTGTATCATCTGTTTTTACTTTCGTAAAATGAAGATTTTCTCCGTAAAGTTGAATTATTATAATTATTATCTATTCCACAAATATGGAAATATCACATATACGGACCTGTACCGATGTCACAGTGTGACGAATTTGTAATATATAATGTACAATTGTACATGACCTCTTGGTGATTTTCTATGTGATGTCGCATTTCATGTCTGAACGACGTCACAGTATCAGTGTGCAACCAGCTACGACTGCTACGAGTTTCAGCCACGACTTCGCCTAATATTCAAGGCGCGCGCCATACCACCAATGGTCGTTCATTTTTAATTTATATTCATGGCTGGCCATGAAATTACTAAAACCTCCAAAATATCTCCGTGGATTAAACTATTTTCCATCAATGTATTCCTCTGGGGGTCCTTAATGATGTGTATATCTCAAAATAATTCGTCGGACAAGAATTAACTTCACAGCCCCCTCTTTCGGATTTTCGAAAAAACATCATAACTTTTTCAAAATACACGTGGATGGGAGTTTTTTTTATATGAATGTGTTCCTCTGATGGTACTTTATAACGTGTATATCTCACAATATTCTGTCGTGCAAGAATTAAACACATAGACCCCCTTTTTTGGAATTTCGAAAAAAAATCATAACTTTTTCAAAATACACGTGGATGGAAGTTTTTATCTATAAACGTGTTCATCTAATGGTACTTGATAATGTGTATATCTCACAATATTTTGTCGGGCAAGAATCAACCCCACAGGCCCCCTTTTATGGAATTTCGAAAAAAAATCATAACTTTTTAAAAAACACGTGGATGGGAGTTTTTCTTCTATAAACGTCTTTCTCTTATGGTACTTGTCAATGTGTATATCTCACAATATTTTGTCGGGCAAGAATTAATCCCACAAGCCCCCTTTTTCGGAATTTCGAAAAAAATCATAACTTTTTAAAAATACACATGGATAGCAGTTTTTCTATGAATGTGTTTCCCTAATGGTACTTGATGATGTGTATATCTCACAATAATTTGTCGGGCAAGAATTAAATAAACCCACTGTTACATAATTATGTTCCGCTAACCTAAAATGCCATTTGCCATTTTTTTTCACTCGTTACAAGAGCAATAGCAGCATCACCATCTAGTGGAAAAATGTAGAATCAACGTCTCGCTGGATGTGACGTAGAAAATTCATAGTAGGCGGTCGAGTTATTTTTCTCAAGTTTTCAATGCGTAAAAATGGCCGAATACGCGCACGATCTACTTATTTCCATCATATGCATTATCTCAATATAAAAAAGATTAGACTCGTTTTCTTCTCCATTTCTTCTCATTTCCAGTGTTGCCAACATAAAAATTTCATTGTTTTGTTGGAACACTGAAGACAAGGACAAATGAGGAAGAATTTTTTTATCTCTCAACGCTACTTGAACTGCTCAAAAGACAATGCATTTGACAAATGACACTGGATTTGACTGTAACTGCAACCAACAATTGGCACAAAATATCTTAACTTTTTCCAAATGACATATATGTATAACATTTAATTCACAGCAGTTGGCAACACTGGACCTTACATAATTAGTGTGTCAACATTGTTATCAGTGTCAACAAAGGTGGATTTATGTATGGTGAAATAGCTCCCTCTTACAAAACCCTAGAAATTTTTGTTGACCTCTGATGGCCTACTTGATTATGTCGAATTCTATCACCGTAGTAAGGCCGCGCAAAACTAACGCTAGATGGCGAAGTGATCTTGCTACACAATGGTTGTTTTGTTCTGTTGTTTACATTTACGTATATCAATTCGTAATTTAAAAACATTGAGAAATAGTGATTGATTTACGCCATCTACAGTCAATCCGGTGCGGCCTTGCTACGGTGTTTCGCGGTCTACACGTTTTGGAAAAAAACAATTGACAAGTGGTTACACCAGTCTATTTTCATCATGGTGTCAACTGTAAAGTCGTTGATTGAGGTATTGGTTAATACCTCAATCAACGGTAAAGTGTAATTATTGAACTCTTTTCTACCTTGAACGAGAGAGAGAGAGGAAAATTCTCTCCTTATCCATCTTTCTCCTCAATGCTACCAACGTGGCCACATTGAACTATAGAGAGGTCCAATCAATCTTTCCTTGTATAACATCTACTTTGTGCCGCTGAACTATTTTTGAATTCAGCAGAATGTCAATTTTAACGAAATTAACAACAACATAATAATAATAATATAATAATAGTGTTTATTCAAAAAAAGGAAATAAATATATACACTATTTAATTATGTAACAAAGATGTGGATAAACATTAAAAATCCCATGTAACCTCAATGTAGGTTGTTTGGGGAGATGATATAATTTGAAATTTCATTTCAAAAATTTGAAATCTTACCAGTCAATGACATTTATGACATAAGACATATCACATAATTATTACATTGAAAATAGTTTAGTGGCGCAGACTAGATGCTAGACAAGGAAAGATTTATCGGAACTCTCTATATTTCAATGCGGCCACGTTGGTAGCATTGAAGAGAGATAGATGGAAGAGCGGAAGAGGAGAGAACTTTCCTCTCTCTCGTTCAAGATAGAAAATACCTCAATTGAGCTCTTTTCTACCTTGAACAAGAGAGAGGGAAGTTCACTCGTCTTCCATCTCTCTCTTCAACGCTACCAACGTGGCCGCATTGAAATATAGAGAGGTCTGATAAATCTTTCCTTGTCTGACATCTACTTTGTGCCGCTGAACTATTTTCGATATTTCAATGACATGATATGTCTATGTCATGAATGTCATTGACTGATGACATCTCGAATTTTCTTAATGAAATTTTGAATTACATCATACTTATTTTGACATAATTTGTTGATATCGTTAAATTTGGCACTCTGCTGAATTGAAAAATAGTTCAGCGGCACAAAGTAGATGTTAGACAAGGAAAGATTTATCGGACCTCTCTATATTTCAATGCGGCCACGTTGGTAGCATTGCAGAGATGGAAAAGGAGAGAACTTTTCTCAGTTTTCTCTCTCTCTCGTTCAAGATAGAAAAGAGCTCAATTAACAATTCCATTCCATCACTATCACTTTTATTGTTCATTCATTTGAAAGAATACATAAAAAAACTCACCTTTGGATCCTTTTCATAATAATGTTGTTGTGTCCTGATCCACCTGGATACCAGATGGTCCTTAACTGTGTTCGCCAATGCGAAATAATAATCCCTGGAAGTAGCAACATTTCTATCCTTGACCAAGGTGTAGTGGACGTGCCTGTTGAAGGTCTTCTTGATCTCAATCACATCATCAATCTCAGCGATTCCTCGAACACTTATTTGTTTTCTTCTTTCAATGTCCGATTGTGGGGTAGCCATGATGACTGAGAAAAATTAATCAAGGAAAATTCACCGAGCCAGGGCGCAGAATTAGACAGACGGAACCGGCTCTAGAAAATAGTATTATTTTCCCTAATCAAAAGGTCACCTTGTGGTTCTTGTGAAATTAATTTGAGATGCGCATGCCCCAGCCAATCTCCAGTTTGCATTTTCAAGTTCATTTATAGTTTGGTCGTGGCTACAAAAACACGAGTACGTATGGCTTTTAGATATTTCACAAATACAGGGTGATTAATTGAGTGCCTATAATACAAGGTGTTGATTCGCGGGTGATTTTGAGATGAAAAGTTCATATGTCCTAAACCTCTTAGTTTTTGAGCCACTGGGTGTTGAAATTTTAAGAAAAAAGTTAGGTTTTTATCATAATTTTTTATCACTTAGATATCTTTATGAAATCTTGTACACACCTTCACATCATTAGGGAGTATTTCGTGACGTGACAGATTATTACGAATTTTCACCAGTGACGTTCGTACGGGGTTTGAACTGACCATTTTTTGAGAAAAAAATGGTTCGCCTCAGATTTTTCTGAAAATCAAAATTATTCTTGTAATTCCCATTAATTTTGAAGAAAATTTGCCTCCTATTATACCTCGTTATACTATAGGTACCACAACAAATGCTCAGTTTGCAACAACAAATACACATTTTTCTCGTATAATATCTACAAGTTTAACAGAATCACCAATAATGGATCAGAAAGAATAAAATCAAAAATTCATCAGTTTGTCCCCCCATCAGCTGATTAAAACGACAGTGCGACATTAAGACCTCAGCTGACACAGCTCTATCAACAGTGCTGCTCTCCTAAGGTGGCAGATGGTATTAGTAACAAAGCCTGCAGAGAACATACCATTAAGATCAAAACTTCCAACTGAAGATCCTCAATAGAGATGGCCAGTTGGTATGTATGTACATAATTATAATTATACCAGCGAAGTACATATAATACTATATACTACATTAATACTACTAGAGTTTATCAAGTATCTTCCTTCACAATTTTTTGCGAATAGTTAACTCTCCAGACTCCATCAGACACTCTTGGAAAGTCTCCATGATGGTTTGGCCGGAGGTTATTCTAGCTTTTTCTTTTGCATGTGGACCATTTAATTTAACAACACTAAAAACAATAAAAACATATAGATACCTGTGCGTATAAATATCTATCGATACCACAGTTTAACGCTCGATATCTGCTATACCGTCACAGCTGGCTCTTGAGCAGTAACCACTGAGGTGTATTATTTTCCTTTTCCGCCGACCTCCTATTAACGAGTGAGTTTAATGTTTATAGAATCGTGCATTAATGACCCCTATTTATGATCAATTTGTCTATTAATGCACGATTGTTTTATAGGCAACCAAACATACACCACGTGCATTCATTGTTTATGCTATAACTCACGGAATATGCATTTAAATCAAAAACATGGGTTTCATCGAAGATTTTCCGTCAACGGGTTAGCCTTTCCAAGTTTCTGAAACGATTTTAATCCCTGTTTTCTAACACAAGGACTTTATATTCTATGTTGATCATTTCGACAAATAATGTCAAATGTCACTAATGTCAGTGATAAGGCTACTAGGTGATTCTTAGTAGTTTCCAGATGAATGATGAATTCACGAACCAAGTTTTCTTCTTTGCAGGAGAAATGAGAAATGTAGTCGACGGAAAAATTTTGTAACCAACTCGTGTATTAAAAGGCGATTAATACACTAGTTGGTTGAATAACTATTAACTACTGAGGTGAAGTCCAACTATCAAATGGGGATAATTGAGATATAGAAATTGTAATAATTGCAATCTAAGTAGGTACTGCACTAGTAGTATTGATGTTTCTGAAAGTACATATCACCAATTTTAACAACAACAAAAAAACATCGTAAATGTATAATGATGAAACTTATACCAAAAAATACGCATATCTCTTTCCAGTTAATTTCTGATCTTGAAACGAAAAAATGAATTTCATAATTGCGTAAAAAACAGGAAAGAATTGCGCAGGGAATTATTCCTTTGTTCGACACAGGTTGCACAGAATAAATGTTACTGAAACATCTAAGACAAATTGGCTTCCTGCAGTAAGTGCACACGTATTCTGTCATCATGTGAAATCTGGATGGACAAAGAAGGCAGTACCGTTTATTTCCAAGGCAATTTCCTCATCAGAACGAAAATAGTCAGTTTCACTTAGATCGCTGTCAAATTCTTCAAACCTACCAATTTCAAGTTCTGCAAATTCATTATCAAGGCGATTGATTGTTTTTCGGGAAGTCTGGGGCTTGAGATTGATTCATATTCAGTTTGCTCCCAATGAACTCCATTATTAGTGAGAAGTGAAAATAATGAAAGAGTTACTGAGGTGGAGTCTGCGAGTGTCCTGATCTACTTATTCAACTAATTAGCAAATTAGTGCATGCAGCTGTCCTTACGTCCATTGCTAGACTGATCCAAGGTCAGAAGGTACTAAAGGCGGTGGAGTGAGGGATTCATACTGTGAAGAGTTGAAAGTGTCGCGGAGTCTAAGGGATTCCACAGTCCACCTCAGTGGTTGAGGGTGAAACTTATAGATCGCTACGATACCGTTCGCTCAGCCGTTTATACAGTTCTAAAATTTATTCAGTCAGTGACTAATCCATGTACGACGTACTTATTGTCTTCTTTAGTAAAAATTTGTAGAATACCAAAGCACAGATTAATAAACCTTATACCAAGGTATAATCTCTGTTACCCAAGACTCCCAAGACCTGCTAAGGTCATATCATAAGAATATATTATTATGGTCACTCGTATATTTACACTCAAGTAAATATATGTGGACACTGGTCAGAGATTCAAGATTCAAGACATGACACATGCAATAGGCACCATAGGCCCTGTATAACCACAGTTTATATAACTATATAATATACGGGGTGTTCCAGGCTTAACTGGTCTAACGGCTATATCTTTGAAAATCCATGGAAAAAATAATGAAGATATTTTATACCTATTTATTGTTCATTTTGTTGTGGAGAAATTGGTTTCCGTTGTGGTTATACAGAGGGTTAATCGCAAAGGACCGGATGCATTTACATGCATATACAGGGTGGGCCACCAGTAACGCCTCGGTCTCTAGAAGGCTAACCACTTATCTTTTTGGAATTCTTCCTCTCTAGGAAGTTGCATGTCAACATAGGCTACCATTTAAAATTATTTCGAAACATACAGGGTGTCCCCAAAAACCATAAAACACTGAAGTTAAACTTTTTTCTATCGAACACCCTATATATTATTTCATTTTGAGATTCTCCCTGATGAGCTGATTTCAACGACCCATCATACTTGGGGTCTAGCAGTTATAATTACTAGGTGCGTTCGGTTTAACAAAATCGGAGCCGAGCGAGCAGATGCAGATTTGGTGTCACGTGATCACCTAGCAGATAGAGCTAAAGATATTTAACGAACGCTCAACGAGGTAGTAGATTGCAGATTGCAGAAGTAACACAAAACAGAAAGAATTCACTTAACCTTTTTACTTTTAAAAACACTTCAGGGCAACAAAGTTTTTTTGAATGTTTGTTGTTTATATTTTGAAAATTACTAGGGAAGGAATGATTCTGTCTAATATGATCGGTCATTAACTGTGGATCCAGGTCAGTTGTGATCGCATATATTACAGATATATAATTAATATGCTACCTACAGCAAATTCGTCGGTCATTCTGGCGATTCTGGGCAATGAGGGTTCTACAAAATTCAGTTTTGTGTTTCGTTTCCAGTTGATCGAGTCTTCAATTTTTCGTCATAAAAGAGATATAATTTCAATAACATGTTGTTGACATTGATTTGTTGACAATTGACAACCGAATAACCGATCAAATCTGAATGATCTGCTCCTCAAGGCGGAGCAAACAGATTACATCTTTCAGCTCGCTCTGACAATTAACGAACACGGAGCAGATTAGACAGAGGAAGTAGATCTGATTTATCGAACGCTTTCCGAGCTAACAGATGGAATCGAGCTAAGAGATATGTTATAACCGAACGCACCTACTGAAATATAGGGTGTGAAAAATCGAGATTTTCCAAGTTCAAGAATTTTTTTGTGTCGAAACTATTCATAATTGGTCAAAACGGCTTGCATGTCCCTATCTCAACTTTTGATTAACTATCTACTGATATTTAATTGGAACATATACCGGGGTGATCAAGATTCTAATTGATCAAAAGTTGAGATAGGGACATGTGAGCCGTTTTGACCAATTATGAATGGTTTAGACACAAAAAATTCTTGAACTTGGAAAATCTCGATTTCTCACACCCTATATACAGTCTGTCCAAGATAAGGTTGAACAGCATGGGGATCTCGAAAACGGTGTAAGAGATACGAAATCGGTTAAATGGGGAAAAAGTTGCGCATTCGGAGGCTCATATCAAGAGCCTTCGAAAATTTTGAAAATTATTTTTAGTTTTTGAGTTATATCGAAAAAAGTGAATTTTTGGAATTTCTATTTTATTTTTTTTCTCCGTTATTATTAGAGATACAGCAAAACTGAGAATACTTTTTCATAGCAACTTTTGATGAAGGTCAACGTGGTGATACCGATTTTTTCATGCGACGTTTCGTATTCGTGGAACCATCATCAACTTTTGTTTTTTAAATACGGTCCTGATAATTTTTTCACAGATTCTAAAAGGTTTTTTTATTCTGAATTCAACCATGTATTATACAAGGTGGTTCATTTGTGTTTCGACCTATTTCCATCCATCATCAATGTTTTTTCGAAACTCCAAAGGAAAAATGCCATCAGTTCCACTTATTTTGAAGGAAAATTAGTCAACACACTAATACCTCATCAACTGGTTTCAATCAACAACCCATTTCATTTTGTGGAAACAAAAATTCCATCCATACAAATTCAGAATATGTCAAGCGCTAAAACCAGGAGATGACGAAAGGCGCAAGACATCCTGTGAGTGGTATACCAGGAAATGTTAAAATTTTGCAGATTTCTTTCGAACAATCATCTGGACTGATGAAAGCATGGTCACTAATCATGGTAGCTTCGATAGAAAAAATACACATTATTGTTCACGAGAAAATGAA